GCTGCGTGTGCCCGCCGGCGCCCGCCGCCTCTGCCGTGTGGTGACAGCCCCGCGGCGCTGGACCCGTCATGGCTGGGGTTTCCCTCGCAGAAATAAACTTTACCTTAGGGTTTGGGTTTTTGTTTTGTTTGGGTTTTGTTTGTTTGTTTGTTTTTCCCCTCAGATGCGAGTGACAGGCGCGTCGTGGTTGTAGCCGGGTCCCCGCGGCACACAGATTTCACCACTCGGGCAGGAAGCTTTTCTTAAAAAGTTGAGATTAGAGGCAGACAAAATCGGTATCTTAACGGTTTTACGGTTTTCAGTAAAGTGTTACTTAATAGGGAGTGACAGAAAGATAAGGCGGTGTTTCTGGCTGGTTTCAGGTTTGTGACGTTGAGGACTGAGGTAAAGGGGTTTTGGTGGCCTTATCTGTGCATTGCTGTGGTTGGTTCTAAAAGGCTTTCTTTGAAAGTGGAGTCTTCCTTTGAAAGTTTCAGGCTTTTTAATAAGTCTTTAGAACAACCTTTTTTGTTTGTTTTTGTTGGTGGTTGTTTGGTTTTTTTTTTAGCTGAAATTCAGCTTCTAAATTGAGTACTCTTTCTTTGTAAGTTTTCCTTTGGAGGTTTAACAATTTTTTAAGTACGGCTGACAGCCAGCCGCCCGACAGCGTCAGTGCTTGTCCAGGCCTCCGAACACCCTGGTCTGCGCTGGTGACCTGCTCTGCAGCTCTCTTGGTCTCCACACCTGAAGTCTTGAGGGTTTCTGTTAAATCTTTCCTTGTGATTTCTTTGTTGACTGCACTCCACTCCTCAGTAATAGCCATCCACATCTCCGCTAGGTACTCTGCGGTGACTGTGGGTCCAGCAGTGTTGCAATTGTAGACGATAAGTATCCAAATAGCTGTTTTCATGTGATCAAATTGTACCTGATGTGACCTGTCCCGGCTCTACTAAGGAAGTTAGAGGAGTTCCAGACATCTGGAGAGAATGTGGTGTGTAGGTATGAAATGGGAGGCTTTTTTACTCCTGTTTCTTTGTATCTTTTAGCCGGGTTCTAGTGGAAGATCATGGTAAAAATGGGGACAGTGTTTAAAAGAGATGAGGTGATTTTACTGCTTGAAGCTGAGATGTGAGTCTCAGATAATGTGGTGAATACTTTTTATGTTAGCTCTATGTTGTCGTGTGTCCGTCCCCCCCGCCCCCAATAATGAAGCCATGTAATGGAAGTGTTCTGACTTGATGCACTTACAATGAATTAACTGAAGCTAGATTTGTTGTGGAGGGTTGTATATAGTAACTATCTGCTGGTAACTAATCAGTAGATACTCAAGCTTAGCACTGTGTGTAAATTTTATTTTAAGTAACAGTTTGTTACCTTTGATAAAATGGCAATTAGCTCCTGTGTGGAGTTGTTCAAATAACTAAAGATTTAGAAAGGGGCCCCTGGACTGAAGTCAGAGGCAAAAAAATCGTAGAGAGGAATGAGTGCTGGCTGCAAACACCTGTATATCCTGTGCTATTATGAGAAAGCAACTGATCAATATGCAGGGTTTCCCCAAAAGTGTGACCTTCTGATACAGCAGTTGGCAGACGTATTGTAAATCACTCTTGGTTCTTTTTGTGTCATGTTTTGTTCTGTTGTTCGCCCCCCCAATCACGTTCTTAAATTTTAAAGGTCTTGGTTCTTTCCTTTCTGCTGACATACATGCTATATTCTGGAAGTATCCTGCTTCCAAATGTAGCTTCCAGATGAAATGCAATCTAGAAAACAGAAGTCTTCTGAGAATTGAAGGCCCACTTAAATCAGAAGTGGTCTTCAATGTCTGCTGTCATAGTCATTAGGCTTTATATGAGTCTTTTTGCTGTGTCCATAATGTGTCTTGGAAAACTGCCGCTCTCCTTCCTTCTGCTTTATGTGTGTTGTCTTGGAGATTCGTGGATTTCAATTGTATTTCAAATAGGAGCTACTGGATGGTATACGGAGCCTGACATCTCTTTAATAGCTGTTGAGTTTATCCATCTCAATATGAAGTCCAAACTGGCGTATGTTCCCTTGGTTTCTGGTCAGGGAAATAAACTTTAAATCATTTGAGTAGGACAGTGCTGTGTTTTAAATATAGGAATTTTTTTTTACTCTTCTGGGACTGAAACTGAGATGTCATAAACCATTTTTCAACTAAAATTATGTAACATCCCAAACATTTATTTGACATGTGGTATCTTTCTGGATATTCTTGATTGGAAAAGAACTTTAGCTGCGTATGTAAGGTGTGATTTCCCCCCCCCTCCCCCCCTTGGGATTGATTGCTGGTTTAGTGATTCATATTACGTATTCAGTAATACTGCATCGAGTTATTTATTTGTAAGAAAATGGTTATTGCAGGAAAAGATTTTTCTGCTGGCAATATGCTCAGTTACAATTTGAAAGTGATGCTGTTGTGCTATCACACTAGAGTTCAAAATGTTAATTATTAGTTTCCTAAATTAGATTTTACTTCTTCCATAAGTGGGTGGTTATACAATAGGAATATTCTGTACTGTGAATGTAAAATGAATTAATTCAACATGAATACAAGTTATGTTATTTAAAATGTCAACACTGAATTATTTAAAAGAAATACGTATGTGCTAAAAAAGTGTTTCATTTACTGTCTTCAAAGAATACGATCTGTACTCATAGACTTGCTAACATGTAGTTATCGCTCTGCTGTGTGTTTGGAAGATGTCACTGATCATATGGGGTAGGAGGGAGCAGAGGTGGGTGCTTTTCCAAGTCACTTAAAACGAGGCAGTAGAATTTAAAAAGAGAAAGGATTGGAGATCAAAATGTTCTTTAAGTAAAGTTGACATTTCCCCTTTCTTAGCAACATTTTTATACACTAGATGTATTTTGTACTGGAATTAATGTAATTAAGATGCAAACATATATAAGGAAAGTGGCAATTTAAGTATCATGACTTAGAGGATAGAAGGTAGGAAACCAGGACTCTCAATTTTTAAAGGCCAGATATCACGTTGCCTTTTATTTTTAAAACAGTAATGGAATTTCATAATCTAAGTGGTACAACAAATTTACTTTTTTTCTTTTTTCTCAGAGCAAACACAAAAATTAATTTTGCCATTGTAGGGCTTTTGGTTGCTTAATGTGACTATTATAACGTGCCGACATATCATGTTCGACATCTTTTTGGGTGAGTGAAACTTTGACTCCTGTTTTCTTCAACATGCAGATAAAAAGCCATGTTGAATTTTTTTTTTCCCCCAGATTAATTGTAAATTTGGCCTGGTACCAGCAGCTGTATCTGTGTGCAGTCTGTCAGCGATCAGCAGAAGACCAAAATAGGAACAAATCTTAGCGTTTTTAAATAATTGATAGTGAAAACAGATTTAGACAATTTTCTTTGTATCTCTAAGCATGTATTATACAGAAACTGAAGTACGGTACATCACTGTAGTAAAAGTAATGCCATTTTAAAACATTAATTACAAGTCTGATGTAGCATTTTGGGTCCTACAGACTCGCTTGAGTTTCTGCTCTAGTGTGGAGTCACTTTTAGGGTTTTGTTTTTGTTGTTTTGTTTTCTCATCTACTTCAGGTAAAAGGAAAAATCTGCCTAAACCTGAATAGGTGTTGTCACCTTTTTAACTGAACTGATTTACAGTCCTATTGTAAAGAAATCGGTAGATCTTTCTCTTGGGAAGCGGTATGAAGTTCTGGCAGACCATGAGTATTGTGAATTACTATTGAACTGCTATGCCACTGCTACACCTATAGGAAGGAGATAATGTCAGCATGTACCCTTTTCAGTAGATGCTGATGTGTAGCTACAATAATCAATAAAACTATTATCAACCCACGTTTTGTTGAGTGTTTTTGCAATGGTGATGTTCAGTAAAGCATGACTTCAACTAAGAAATATGCAACTGTCATTGAACATTGTATTGAATGTTGAACAAACTGCCGGTGTTTAAGGGATGAGGAGCCATTCTGAGTAAAAGCAGACTTTAGAACACCCGTCTGAAAAAGGAAATTGTGATTATAACTATGAAATTATTTGTATTTAATCTCACGTGTTAGAATAAAATATGCATATGTACTTTTTTTCTCCCCCCCAGCCCTTCCAGTCAGCTTCTTGTCAAATACTCCAATTATACGGTTAAAGCAGCCATGACTTAGGTTTTTACTGATATTGGGAAGGCAGACCCAGTGTCTGTGGAAGAAAAATGGTGAGGTAGCTCTAACTGCAGGGTCATATCCTGTGCTGAGTGCCACCTGCAGAGAAGATTGAGGTGGTTATGCTCTTACATGTATTTGATGCGAAGATTTCTTAATGATGTAGAATAAAACATGCTAACTGGATCTTAGATAGATAGTTCAGGACAAGAATCTCCAAAGAATCCTCGCTAATGGCTAAATATGTACTCAGTAAACCTGATGAACAAGTGGACTTTGACAATACAATGTGTGTTTTTAATTGCCATAGAACAAAAAGATCTTCCTCTTCACTTCTAACTATACGTGTGGCTAGTGGTGTTATTACTGCAGCTGTAGGAATTGTAGGTGGGTTTTTATACAACGTACTATGAAAAGGAAGACTGTAAGAGATTGTGACACATTCTTCTGATCCTTTCTCCAAATGTTAGTTGAGCATGTTAGACTGAATTTACCCAGGAGTGATTAATAAGAAAAATTACTTCCATGTATGGCTACTTAGTGCTAAGCTGGATCTAATCAGTTTATATGGTTAGTACTGCAGATGGCCATATACTCTATGCTGCCAGCCTGCATCTGGAAAGTATGAAGGAGTGTGAATAAGAATAGAACAATAACTTGTGAGTACCTAACAACTGAAGTCCATGTCCTCTTCCTGCCTGATTATTTCCTTGCAAAACTAGCTTCTGTTCTATGTCCCTCATAATGTATGTATACATACATGTATTGTGGGTTGTGTGTTTGGGTTTTTTTGTGGTTAGTTTTTTTTGTTATTTTTTTAAAGGAGGAGTTTAATTTGGTTCAGTATTAATTCTTGTAGTGGAGAAGGTAACCTGGGTGACTTTCTAAGAGCATCCCATAGTTAAAAAGAAATGTGTATGATGGTTTTAAGAATGGAGAAGCAGAGGAAAAAAAGGCATTTATGTTGGACAACTGATTATATCTTCCTGTTTCTTGAATTTAATGTGTTAAAACTATGCTGAGATGATGTCTGTCACGTAACACATTGTCTCGCGTAGTAATGCGGTAAGCATCACGGTGATTCACATGTAAAGATCCTTTTCCAGAATATTTATAGTAGAAAGCCACATGATTAACTAATGTTTATGAACATGACATCAGACTACTAAAGAAAAATATTAACCTGACAGTATTAGTATCCTCCTTGAACTGTTTTTATGTGCCACAGGCCTTCTAAATATGTACATATAATACATTCTTTTTTCAGATAACAATTTGATATTACATAACAGTTATTACTGACTTTGGGTACTACTGCTAATGTGTTCTTTAAATGTGCTCTTTCTCTGAATAACTAAGATGTATACTAGCCATTTTATTTTATTTTTTTAATTTGCATTTTACTCTGCTAATATTTCCATGCCTAAATAGTTTTGCATATAAGGGCTGGCCTAGCTTTAGCCAGATTTGAAAACATGGGAGTCCTAATGATCTTGTCAGTAAAGACTGAGATTTTATGAAAGGAAAAAAAAAAAAGTCTAGAGTAGCAGTTGACCTTTTCTGCGTCTTCTACAAAACTCTCATTTTAAATTACTGCTGCTTTTTGAGATTGTTGGCACATCAGAGTGTGGTTGGATATGCATTCTAAGATTTTTA